GTCCATTCCAACAACTAAGAGATAGTGAGAAGAGTTGGGACCTCAGAAGGCTTTTGGGACCAATTAGTAGGCTCTGTGCCCAGGAGAAAATTAATATACTTACCAGTAATGTTAATACTCATCCACGGCTCTTCTGGGAGGATCTAAATCATTGAAGCACCGTTTGGTTTATTGTGTGGTTTAATTCTTCAGTGTCTTTGTTGAATTTCATTCTGGAACTTCCACCTTTTCTTGAGAGTGGTGTATTGAAGTCTCCAACTACTATAGTAGTGTTGTCTATTTCCTTTTTCAGTTTTGTTAATGCTGGTTTTCTATACTTTGTATATCTTTCATTTGGAGCGTGGATATTTATTATTGTTACATATTCCCATTTTATTGACCCTTTAGTCATTATGTAGTGACCTTCCTTGTCCTTTGTGATGCTTTTTGCATTGAAATTTATTTTATCAGCGATTAGTATCACCACACCTGCTTTTTTCTGGTTGCCATATGCTTGGCATTCCCCCCCCCACCTTTAATTTTCAGTCTTTTTTTACCTTCATTTTTCAAGTGTGTCTCTTTTAGCCAACATATTGATAGATTTTTGGTTTTTATTCAGCCTTCTGCCTTTTTTTTTCTTTAGTGGTGCATTTAAACCATTTACATTCAGAGTGATTATTGAGATGCAAGGTTTCATTGCTCTCATTTTGTTGAGTGGAGAGACGTGCACACAGAGAGACACAGGAGGAGGGTGCAGGGGAGACCTGAATGGAAAATCAGGAAACCTTGGTTTTCCCTTCAAGAACTGGATCTGCCACCCCAGTTGAGCTCCAGCTGCCTCACTACTTCCTGCTTAAGGTTATGGGTTCTCACAATGGTCCAGTAATCAGCCGTGATCCCCCAAATATGCCACTCAATTTGCAGCTGTCCTGCTTCCTCCTTTCAGGTGGGTCCTACTACAGCTCACTGATCCCTGCTGTGGCTTGGTGCTCCCCACCGAGGTGCGCTGTATCCTGCCAATGCTTGCAGCTCCTGCAGCTCTCAAATGTCCGTGTTGGTCCATAGCAGTGTTTTGAGAATCACCTATATATTTGTGCTCCCTTTTTCGCCCAGGGCCTACAAGGCCAAGGGTCTGACAGCAGTTTGTTCCGCAACATACCTGAATGACTAAGGAGCAATCCTATTGTTCCTCTGTCGAAGGGCTCGGGACCTCACTGTTGCCTCAGTTAACGGGTCCCATGTGGTCAAGCCACAGAGCAGTTTGTTCCCCAAAGTACCTACTTTCTCCCAGCCCTTAGGTCCCACAGTGGCTCACTGCTCCTGTGGCTCACAAACTAATTATTTTAATAAAAGTTTTGATTTAAATTCCTACTGTCCGCATTGTACCACTTGGGTCTCTGCACATAGGTCTCTCTGGTGGCCTGTTTCTATGTAGCTTGCGTATTGGGCCTTTTTTGATTATCTGACTTCAGCTCTCTGCACATTTCATTATGTAGCTTGCCGCTCCTCTTTATGCTATTTTCTCTGCTGCCACTATCTTAGATCTCAATCAGCTGTACTTTCAGTGAGATTTGTGTAACCTCAGACATTCTGTAATAATAGAGGAGAAAGATGTAGATCCTGCCCTTGTGTCTAAGGAATGGGCCCTGTGCACATAATGAGGAGGGAGTCACCATAGCAGGATCCAGAAGAATTGACACTTGTATTATTGTGAGGAACAGGAGTACCTGAAGTAAGTTAGACATAAGAAAAAAAATTTTGCAAGCACATGGGGAAATATGTTTCTTAAGGGAAAGGTAATTCAGTAGTAGTTCAGAGTAACCTGAGTGCCTCATAGTATCCCTGGAGGTACAGTGTTTAATGTATTCTGTTACTAAGTGAAAGGTTAGAGGTTTGAATCCATCGTAAAAAATAAGGCAGTTCTGTGGTGCAATTCTATTCTGTCTTAACTGTATTACTTTGAATTGGAATCAGTTCATTGATACTAGATTGAGTCCCTCAAACCAGGTATTAAATAAAATTCACTGCTGTTGATCCCGTTTTATTATAATTTTGAATCTAGTTTCCAAGCTTGATCTTGATGAGGGAAAACTAACCATGTTTCCAGTGCCAAGGAACCTTCTACAGGGGAGATAATTTCTGTACTCTGTTGGGTCACCTTTCTTTGGAATGGGAACAAATACCAATCTTTTCTAGTCAGTTGGCCAGCTGGCTGTCCTCCAGATTTCTTGGCACAACTTAGTGAGCACATCTACTGCAGCGTCTGTTTGTTGGAATAAATCACTTGGTATTCTGTCAACTCCTGGAGCCTTGTTTTTTGCCAGTTCCTTCAGAGCAACTTGAACTTCCTCCTTCATCACCATAGATTCTTGCTCATATGTTATTTCATGAAATTCCTCTGTGTCAGCCAATTCCTTCTGATACAGTGACTCTGTGTACTCCTTCTATATTCTTTTGATATTCCTGGATCATTTAACATTCTGCCCAAAGTATCCTTAAGTATTGCCACCCATGGCTTGAATTTGTTTTTCAACTCCTTCAGCTTAAGAAATGCTGAGCGTGTTCGGCCTTTTTTGATTATCTGACTTCAGCTCTCTGCACATTTTATTATAGTATAATGCTTTGTCTTCCTGAGCTGCCTTTTGAATTTTCTGTTCAGCTCTTTGATTTCTTGGTTTCTTCCTTTAGCTTTGGGTTCTCAGCACTCTAATGCAATACTTACAGTCTCATCTGACATCCATCTTGGTCTTTTCTTCTTCTTCAGCCTTTTTAATGATCTTTTGCATTCTTCATGGACAATTTTTCTTCATGGAAAATTAAATCAAGTCCACGGGAACCAAAATTTGACCTTAAGTTTGTCCAACTCAAATTTCTAAACCATCTCAGGAACAGGTTTGAGGCCTTGAGCACCAATGAGCATAGACCAAATGAGCTCTGGGAGGATACTAATTAATATGGATTATAAAAAACTTTTTCCCACTAGAAACACAATAACATTTCCTTTTCTAGATTTTAGTTGTAAACTGGATTGAATTGAAAGTTTTCCTTTAATGAAAACTTTGATATGTTTATCACCTCATATATATCAATATTATTATGATATTGTTGTCATTATGTGCCATCATGTTGGAATTAACTAATTCGACTCTCTTCCCCAGGTTTTCAGAGGCTCTGCATCACATGAGAGGAGTTAGTTCATCCTTCTCGTATGGAGCAGTTGGTAGATTCTGAATGCCAGATAGGCATGTTCATTGGATTAGCAGTGCAGCTTCCTTCAGACCATCAAAACTCCTTTGTATAACAATATACTCTATATGTTACGTAAGGAGTTCTGCTAGCCTAGTGGATACATTGCACTGCCATGCATTGGCATCTGGTTAGTATCCACTAGCAACTCTCAAGGACAGAGATGGACAGTCTCCTCTTGAGCAGCCTCTGAAAACTTGCTGGAGGGGCAGCTGTGAGTTTGTTCTGACTCAATGACAACGAGATTTTGCAAGGAACACATGGGGACAGATATGTTTGACTTTTACCAACTTCACAGAGAGGAACTGTTCCCGACAACAGCATCAGCAACACAAAAGCAGTTCTCATGAGGTCAGACATTTTCCCCATGCTCCCATTCTTCTTTCTGCTTATCTCAACACCAATCTTACTGCTTTGCTGCGTCCAAAATTTAATGCAATAGATCACAGAGAACCATGTTGGGAAGTCAGAAGGTTACAGTTCAGGTTTAGTAGCAAAATACAGTCATGATAGCTCCTGAAATGTGCTCACAGGCAGTTCAGCTTTGAGCCTCATGTCTTTAGGCCAGTGTTACAGAGCTCTCTCAGTCCTGTACATTATGGGTTTTCCCACCCCACCCCTTCCCTAGTGGTCTAATAACCTTGCCCAAAGGCTCTGAGCTCTGGTTCCAATGATGTAGTCCAGAGGTTCCCTTTCAGGTCAGATCTCTGGTTCTCTGCCTCATATCATGTCTTTTTCTCTGTTATTGCTATTATGGCTGCTGGTCGTCTAGGTCTTCTTGCTTGCCTTTTTCCTGATGGTGAGGTTTCTCTGCCGGTGGCAGGAAGGTCTCATTTTCCTGCTGCTGGATCGCTCAGTTTAATGGTGAGACTGACCATTCCCTTTGTGGATAGGCTCGCATGCCCCAGTCTCCTGTTTCTGCCCATCTACATGGCAAAGTCTAAAAAAGTCATATTGAAAGATAAACTCCATAATATCTATAGCTATCAATCATCTGTACATATGTATCTATATATCATGCTATTTTATAATAATGTATGCCAGACTGAGTGTTATAGAAGTAGCTGGGTGGTCAAAATGTTTAAGCACTCACTGGGAGATCGGTGGCTTGAATTCACTCAGAAAGCTCTGAAAGATCAGAGCTGTTGGAAACCCTATAGTTTTCAGTTGTACTCTAACTGAAAAATGAGGTGGTCATAAGATGGAACTCATGTGAGAGTACCTGGTAATCTGGTATTGCTACTTGAACACGGTACAGTCTGACATAAGGAACCATAGACTCAAACTTAGCATTCTTAGTGCTAACTTCTCACTGCTCTACAGGAGAGCGGCTGTCTAACCCTGGTGTAACTCATTAACCTCTATGCTGTATGCCAGGGCTCACACCAAAATGTACTGATTCCATGTCCTGAATAAGCTTGTTTTAAGAATGAGGAGATGACCTGAGCATTATTTTACCCCTAGGGTCTCCAGGTATCTACAAAACAGAAGGTATCCCCATGGGATTTGTTTGAGGGCCAGAAGAACCCAGCTCCTCTCTCCTGGGCCTGGTTTGGAACTGTCCGTGTGGACCGGAAGGTGATCAAGTATGAGGAGCAGCATCATCTCCTTTTGTATCATACACACCCCATGCCCAAACCCCGAAGTTACTACCTCGAGCCACTGCCCCTGCCTCCTGAGGAGGAAGAGGAAGAGCCCACATCTCCAGTCTCTCAGGAACCAGAAAGGAAATCAGTTGAGCTGTCAGATCAGGGAAAAACCACAATGGACGAAGAGAAAAAAACAAAAGGAAGGAAACGCAAGACGAAATCAAGCTCAAGAGTTGATGTAAGTACAGAAGTACATAGGAATTTTGTCTCATAAGCATCTAGTGTGAAATTTGCCATTGTGTTCAATTTTATTCCCCAAAACATAATGAGAGCAGTGTAAGCCTTATGATAGCAATGTTCCTAATGAAGCCTGGGTGTTATTAATTAATGACACAACAAAAGCAGCTTGTCATAGAAGACTAGATTTATAACTTTGGCTTTTTATTTTCCTTTCTTCATCTATTTTCAGGAATTCTCGATAGCTTGGCACTTGTAAGATGAAAAGTGTTTGTTTAAATAAGGCAAATGCCTAATGGTTTTTCATGTTTCGAGCTTAAATTGTTTAGAGCTATAGGATCCCATTCCCTTACTCATCTTGAGTACTAGACAAGCCTGAATTATTTATACTATTTTGGAGAGTGCTTTCTGCAGTAAGTTAACATTGAAAAAAAAGCCAGCTATAGTTTTTCTTCTACATGAAACTACATCAAATATGCCCAATGAATGTTTCAGAGATTTCATATTTTAACCCCTTCCTTCACTCTATAAATACTTGTTTTAAATTAAATACATTATAGACTACATAAAATGAATCTAATTTAAAATTGTTTTATTTCTGCTTGCTTCACTATTTGGAAAATGGGTAGCACCATTATCTTCAAAACGACAGAATCTCTCAGGTAGAAATTTAGAAACAGTTTTATAGAACTTGAGAATTAAGCTTTAAAATATTTCTTTCTACAAAATCCAAGGCTCTTGCTGCAGTGTGGAATACATATTTGTATCAAATTATTATTATTGCTCATTTATGTCAAACTCAAAACATATTTTTTCTTAGCTCTGATTACTACTGTTTTCTGGATGTGACTCCTATTACTACTGGATGCCGAAACCACTGTTGGCCTTTTATTCAGTCTTTCACAGGTTGACACTTTCTCACTGCATAATATGCATGGGTCTCTGTTCTTTTTTAGATTCAAAAGGCCTGAAGCTCTTCTCCTTCTCCAATGTCCCCTCCTTTAACCTGCCACTTCCCACTGAGATATATTTTTTGGCAAAATTGCAGGGAAGAAGTAGTTAGGACTCAGCTTCTAACCAAAAGGTTAGCAGTTCAAACCCACCCTGTGCCTCTGGGAGAAAGACCCAGTGATCTGTTTTCATAAAGGTTAAGGCCAAGAAAACCCACTGATGCAGCTCACTGAGCCACACTGGGTTGTTAAGAGCTGAAAATCAATTCTTGGGCTGAAAAACAACATCTAGGGCTAGATTAGAGAAGATGGTGAAAAATTCAGTGGTAGAGAATTGAGGATCCAGGTGTGATCCTCAAAAACGTTTTAGCTCCCATAGAGAGGAAGCACAGGGTCTTGTTTTGGAAATGAGGTGCCACGTAGGCTGAGGTCATTCCTGTGTAGTCTTAACCCAGACCCGTGGTGATCAGAAAGACGGAAGACCAAATGATCAAGACATGTTGCAAATGAATATGCCCATTCAGCTCTAAGTGTTGTTCACTTATACTGATACTCTAAAATAACTTCCATGCCTCTACTCTCACCTCATTCCAAACCCATTTTAAATGTACATTTTGCAGAGAATGTATTGAGCCCCTTATCTTCTCCGTCAAATAAGAAAGTGGGGGTTTTTTAAAGTTCATTTTGGATGTTGTGTGTGAAGATAAGTAACTTTTCTTTTTTCACTTTATTTTTAAAGGAATATCCACAAAGCAACATTTACAGAGTGCCTCCTAATTACTCACCTATTTCATCCCAAATGTTGCATCATCCCCAGTCTACTATGTGGGGTTACAACCTCATGGGTCAGCCTCACCAGCCTGGATTTTTCCTTCAGAACCAATCCCTTACTCCAGGTATGTGTTGAAGGAGCATGCCAGATTTCTCCAAGGTGAGGTATACCTTGAAGTTATCTTACTTTGAACCGGAAGCCTCACAAAAACGTGAAGAATTTAATGATCAATTGACATTACTGTAATTTTCATCATTCATTCTATGAAATAAGGTCCCTATTACAAGTTTAAGTACCATTGTTGTTGTTAGGTGCTGTCGAGTTGTAGACGACTCAAAGCAACCCTATGAATGAAAGGCCTGAGCACTGTTCATAGAGTTTCCGGAGGCGAGCCATTTCGGAAGTGGATACCACTCCTGCTTCCAAACTTGTTTTAATCAGGGAGCTCCAGCAAACAAACACTGTCCGCCATGGGTAACCATTACCACATTTGGCACATCAGTGTCACAGTGTTCAGCATCACAGCAACCACGAGTTACCTCTGTACAGCAGTGCACAGACCAGTGCTATACCACGAAGAAGAATGTTTGACAAAAAACAATTTCCCTTCGGGGCTTTAAGCCACCACCTGCCTTAAATCCTAGGCCAAGCCTCAAGGGCCTCATTCCTGGTGAGAAAAGAGCAGTAGTGCACATCAAACACAAGCCCGAAAAAGCACACAATCCCAAAAACTTGTGATTACTTGTCCTTGCAGACCACCATGCTCAGACAGTAAGAAGCCACAGAGACCCTGGGTGGAGTCATCCAGGAACAAACTGGCTGCCTTCTCCTCCCCAGTCTGCTTTTTCAGGCTTGTGTTTGATGTGCACTACTGCTCTTCCCCCAAGGAACAAGGCCCCCCTTTTTTTTTTTTTATATATACCAATAGTGTATTTTTATTTTTGGAAGGAAATTAGCCACTAGTAAAAATATGAAGTTAGAAACCATAGTTAATAAAGCTTTCACATTGTTAAATTTGTGTACATTTTTACCAGATGCAAATATTATTATCTCATTGTCATTAAACTGGAAACAACTCTTAACTGACTCTCCACTGGGTTTTCAGTAATTGTTTGTTAAATGAGAAGAGATTATCTTGTCCACCTTTCTCCTGCGCAGCTGCTGGAGGAGTCAAACCACCTGCCACTGTAACAACACTATTCCTTGCCCACAAGGACACCAGAGCGCCCTCATAAGTCTTAATAGTGCTTTCTAGTCTCTTCCAATGTCTGTCATTGTTTCTTATGTTGTGAGTTTTACATTATTTATATCATTAAACAGCTCAGAAATTTGGCTCTGCAAGTAGATATTAACAAAGAAAACTAACATATCCAAAGTAAACACTTGTGATTTATTTTGTTGTTGATTTCTATCAAGTCTAGCACGACTCATAGCAGCCCTGTAAACAAAAGGCCTGAAGCCTTTCTATAACTATCATCATTTATCAAAGTTCATAGTTTCTAAAGGCATGTTATTTAGGAGGTATATACCACCCCTGCTTCCAAATTGTCATTTATAGTCTTGATTCAAGTCAAGACATACTATTTTTTCCTAAATAAAGCATCTCATTTCAAATTGAATTTGATTTTTCTTTTACATGTAAGCTTGCCTATTTTAGAAACATGTTGTTGTTGTTATGTGCCGTCGAATTGCTTGCGACTCATAGTAACCCTATGTACAACAGCTCTAAATTCTGCTCTGTCCTGTGCCAATCGCACCGTCTCTGCTACACCCATCCCAATTACCCCAGTCACTGAATCAATCTACCTCATAGAGGGTCTTCCCCTCCTGCACTGTCCCTCCACCTTACCAAGCGTGCTGTCCCTCTCCAAGGACCAGTCCCTTCTTACAACATGTCCAAAATATGTTAGATGCAGCCTCAGAATCATTGCCTCCAAGGAGCCACCCGGTTTGACCCTTTCCAGGATGAATCTATTTGTTTTCCTAGCAGTCCATGGTACCCTAAATATTCTTCTCCAGCACCTCAGCTCAAAGGTATCAATTCTCCTTCTATCCTCCCTAGTCATTGTCCAACTCTGATGCATAGCAAGTGATAGCAGAGACCATGGCCTATCAGACGCACCTTAGTCTCCAGAGAGACACCATTGCTCTACAGTACTTTGGAGAGATCCCGAACTGCAGACTTTCCCAGAGCAATACATCTTTTAAATTATTGGCTACTGGTGCCGAGAGTGTTGGCTTTGGAGCCAAGCAAACTGAAGCTGTGAACAATCTCAATCTCTTTACCATCCATCCTGATGCTGCCAATTGGCCCAGTGGTGAGAATCTTTGTCTTCTTGACATTGAGCCTCAGTCCGTATTGGAGGCTGCAGTCCTTGACCCTCTGCATCAAGTGCTTCAGGTCCTCCTCAGTTTAGCAAGCAGGGTTGTGTCATCTGGATGTCACAGATTATTGGTAGATCTTCCACCAATCTTGACCCCACATTCCTCCTCATAGCCTCTCCCAGATAATCTGTTCTGCATACATATTTTAGTCTTTATTGTATTGGGATGTGTGCCATCTTAGCAACTTTTATTTTCATTATGACATGTGCTACGCTGTGATTTTACATGTAAGTTAAGATGTCATTTAGAGACTTCAGGAACTTAATGATGAAAATATTTGATTCATGAATTATAACAAAAATCAGGATCTCAAATCCATAATGAAAACAGAATCTCTATTTTGTCTTATAGATTTAATGATTGAGAAACTAGGATTTTAGAGTTTTTATACTGGGTATGTGGACTTACTCTGGCAGAAAAATTAAGGACTCTGGTGGAGTTCTAATGGTTTAATGGTAAAGGAGTTGTGTTCCAAACTGAAAGGCACAAAGTTTGAATCTCCAGAGGAGAAAATGGGCATTTTCCTCGTTTGCAATTTATTACCTTTGAACACCCACTGACTCAGTAGTAAACAACAACAGTAAAATGATAATCTAGCTTTACCAGTTGCCTGTTCTATATTCTTGGCTAAGTCATTGTTTCTCCATAACTGTTTGATCTGTAGAATGGACATATTACTGTGGGGCATTCATTTCTTGATTTCTTCAGCAAAATAGATTAATCTTCACAATGTGTTAAGTTAAATTTATTAACCCATTTAGGGTACTGGGTTAATGCAGTGGTCAAAAATCTCTCTTTTTTAAATAAAAGGATAAAATAAACCCATGTTACAGATACATGTATGTGGACATGCATGTGTGTAATTTTTCATCCCAATACTCTTCCTTAAACTATGTGTAAGTCACCAACCCAGCCCTTCATGAAATTTCTGGTCAGATACTACTTTGTCCTATGAGGACTTTTGTTGTTGTTTTCCTTCACCCTCTGTTATATTTGGGGGCACTCTGGTGGTTTAGTGGTAGGAGTTGAACTGCCAAACTTCAGGACATACAACTTGATTCCACCAGCTGCTCTGTAGGAAAAGGAGGAGCAAGCAATCTCCTCCCATGTGACTTGCACCCTTTGAAAACCCGCTGAAGGGTCAGCTATGAGTTGGTTCTGACTCTTACAGTACTTAACAACAACTACTATTATTTCATCACATTATTCCCAGCTCATGGAGCAGGATCTGGCTTATAGTAGGTTCCTAAAAAGTGTATCATTGAGAGAATGACTAAATAAATGTAGACCAAAAAGAGCAAACAAGATATAATTATAAATGTGGAAAATAATAGAGTTGTCCTTTTTTTCCCTGTCCTTTTTTTAAATTTGAAGGTCCATGGAAATTTTATAACAGTTTTACCATTTATAGATGGTCAGGTGAAACACAAGGATGATCTCTTTTGTAAAAACACATACACATTTTCCCTTAGAATACTATAAAACATATTTGTAAGTTGAGGAACTTTTAGATTTTAAATAGGTTTTGTGTATGAAATATTTTAAACAATTAAGAAATTAATTATTAATATATTATGACTGAATTCATAGCTTTTTATAAAAAATAAATTCTCTGGAGATGATAAAGAATGTATGCACTGTGATTCAAACTATAGTTAAAAGGCAAAACAATGTCTCCCCCATTCACACATCTATTTATCAGTGTTTCTTGCATATGTGTGTGTGTGTAGATACATACACTGCCCACAACAGAAAGCATTTATGCAGGTAGCATGCTTCCAAAAGTTTTGCCAAATTGTAACCCCATATAATTCCAGGATCCGACTACTCACTTTGTGTTTCAGATTTATCAGTTTATCAACTGAAATGATGGTTACAAGATATATTAAATCACCCTTGCTGTGGTTTTCAATTACACAGCTGTTAACAGATCTTTACAGTTTGCAGGAAATAAGACAAGTGCATTATTTTGCAGTTTTAGCAAAAAGCTAAGACTGAGAAAGTGAGATTTTTATACTTTGATAAAAGAAGAAAGACCTGTTGCATTGTTGTTATGTGCCGTCGAGTTGTTTCCGACTCATAGCAACGCTATGCACAACAGCTCTAAACCCTGCTCTATCCTGCGCCAACTGCACCGCCTCTGACAGACCCATCCCGATT